TGGGAAATGCTTGGCTACCACCAGTGGAAGGATACTTTTTGGAAGTTTCTAAAAAGCTCTGACATTAACAGCAACATTGGCTTGGAGATAAAGCCTGAAACATTCCAATGCATCATATAGAATTAATATTCTTTTATTTTTTGATATACATTTTATTGATTTTTTTTTACAGAGAGGAAGGGAGAGGGATAGAGAGTTAGAAACATCGATGAGAGAGAAACATCGATCAGCTGCCTCCTGCACGCTCCCCACTGAGGATGTGCCCCCAACAAAGGTACATGCCCTTGACCGGAATCGAACCTGGGACCCCTCAGTCTGCAGGCCGATGCTCTATCCACTGAGCCACACCAGTTAGGGCTCATATAGAATTAAACTTAGGTCAAAGTTTTAAAGAAAATGACAGTGACGGGGGAAGGGGGCGATGATGAAAGGTGAACAGTGTCAAGAACATGGGATTCATATTTAAAAGATTCTTTTGATGATGTTGATGTTAATGAGTATGTTTTTGCTTTTAATAAAATGTAATGACTGTGTCAATATTGGGAAAAGAAAAGAACATGGGATTCAGAATCATTTGCTGGCATACAATCTTGGACAAGTCACTTGATCTTTCTGAAAACCTTGGTTGTTTAATCTCTGAGCTCCAGATGGTCTTATTACTTCATATAGATACTTTAAAGATGAAACAAAACAGGTAAGTGATCTTTGCAAAGTTTGAGATAATAAATGTTAGACATCTCTATAAAAAAATTGAGGTGTATTTATTATTCTGACACCTACATAATTACTATCTGTAGAGGATTTCAAAAATGGATTATTACATGAAACATATTACATGAAATTACACACGTGTTTGCTTTCCCTTGTATATATTATATAGCTATAGATGAACTTTTAAACAAAACTTATACCATTTTATGGGGCATTTCCCAAAATGGTCTATGCAGTGCTTTTACAACTGAGTACAAAAAAAAAAGAGAGAGAGGATATTTCTATTTGGTTTATAATTATATAATTTTATGGCATTGAGGAAAAGCACTCGGACAGTTTTCAGTAAACTACATACTTACCCTCCCCACCCCAACCCCAGCACTGAGGGATCACACCATGGAAACGAGCTACCAGAGAAGGTATTACTGTGGTCTGATTTCGTGTGGTCAGTTCACAAACGTGTTGCAAGATACACTATTACTAGGATATGCGAGAATCACCAGTTAGCCAATCATTCTTGAAAAAGGGGTAAAATGACTTCTCACAAAGCTCACAGACACTGGATACACAGGAGATTCAATGCAACCTAAAGCAAAACTTCAGATTCACAAAACCACCGTGAGCAAACGAAACGTGTCAACGAATTGCTCCACTGGCACAATGCACATTTCCTGTGCGGCCCCCTTCTCTGAATGGGAGGACAGAGACTGCCCTGGACAGATAATCCAGCATGATAAAATAGTTCTGTATTATTCCAATGGACGGCTATTATTTTAACAACTTCCTGTGTGTCCATAGTTTGGCTTCTTTCTAGTCTAGTCTTTAGATCCACCCATTCTAGGAAAACCAGCAACTAGAATATACTCTTGTTTTTCAATGGATAGAATGATCTCTGATCTATGTTGTACAAAACCTATAACCCCTCTTTTTCCAACTGTCCACTAAAGCCAAACAATTTGGGTTTTCCCCTGAATTATTTTCTCACTCCTGAGCAAAATGAATTACCATATGGCTCTACTGGCCTTATTTGTATTCACAAAAATGGACAAAATCTGTGAATATTCTTTTAAATCATAACCATTGCTTCTGGGACTAAAGGTCATTACTCTTTAAAAAAAAATTTTTTTTTCTCACTACAAGTAAACACACTCTGCCTCTGCCTTAAGTTTGTATCTTTTTTATTATTTTAAATATATTTTTATTATTTTCAGAGAGTAAGGTAGAGAGAGAGAGAAACATTAATGATGAGAGAGAACCATTGATCGGCTGCCTCCCACATGCCCCCCACTGGAGACTGAACCCTCAGCCTGGGCATGTGTCCTTGACCAGAATCGAACCTGGGACTCTTCAGTCCAATGGGTGATGCTTTATCCACTGAGCCAAATTGGCGAGGGCGGGCACTCCCTTTTCAATGTGCCCAAAATGCACCCTGTAACCAGCTACAGTTCATTGGTGAGCGTTATCTATTTAACTCTGACTCACTGAGTGATTATTAAAGCACAAGCATTTAAATGGAAGTTTCACCGGAATGGAGATTTTGCTTAGGTAACTAACTCAACATTCAAAGACGAAATATGAAATCATAACAAACAAATCATGGTCAAAATGAAAGGTAAGGCCAGCACTTTTTTTTATTATCTAGCTGAGGTCCACTGGCCGTATCAGAACTAGGAGTGTTTGGATGTGCAGTCTGTTAGGTCCCATGAGGAGAGCTAGGCGGTATCTTAGTGACCGGAGAGAAACAACGTGTACCTGTAAACAACCTGAAAATGTTCACGCATTCTCAGCAAGGCACAGACACATGCAAATGACTGAATTTAACGTCTTCGCTGTTCAGATCAAGAAAAATTGGGGCTCAGAGAGATGAAAGGGACTTTTCTGGGGCCCATGGGACTTCCTGGCAGGCACTGCTCCTCCCCAACTAGTTCTTGTGCAGAAAGAGCCAAGAGATTGTAAAGCAGACACTCCTGCCCCCCAGCCTCTTCCCGCCTCCTGCAGGATGGTGGTGTGGGCTGTGCAGCGTTCCACAGACCATTTCAAACACCTTCATAGCTAATGGAATGTGACAGAAAACCTCCCCTGCTTTCCAGCTGTTTCCTTCATCCATCCCCATTCTGCAGAGTGATTTGTCTACAGTGTCATGATCCCATTACAGACCTGGGACCATTCTTACAGGAGAGAAAAAAAATCCTATGTCCTCTTCTCATCATCAACTTGAAGAACCACAGGACACTTTTGAGGCCCATGTCTCATTTGGGTTTATTCTCTCCTGGAAAAGGGCTTTGGGGCTATCAACCCAGCACCCCCATTCAGCAACTCAGGAAACTGAAGCCTAGCCCTGGTAAGTGACTAGGGCCCCACAGGTAGGATGTGGCCAAGAACACTGGTCTCCCGATATCTAGACCGATGCTCTTTCTACCGCCCATTCAGTGAACCATACTGGATATGGTGGTTTACCCATCTGGTGCCATTCTGTGCTTTTATAGCAAAACTCCTGGTTTTGTCCTTATTTGACACTGTAGCCTGTAATAATAATAATGCAGAAAGGAAATTACATATACTATAATGCTTAAAGTTGTCACTGGTGTTCAAGGAAGGTAGTTCCTGAATCTGTTTTTGGAACACCTACAGGTTATTATTAAAACACTAGAGGCCCAGTGCACGAAATTCGTGCACTGGGGAGGGTGTCCCCCAGCCCAGCCTGCACCCTCACCAATCTGGGACCCCTCAGAGGCTGTCAGATTGCAGGTGTAGGCCCAATCCCTGTGGATCATCCCTCTCACAACCCAGGACTGCTGGCTCCTAGCCACTCACCTGCCTGCCTGATTGCCCCCTAACTGCTCCCTTGCAGGCCTGATTGACACCTAACTGCTCCTCTGCCAGCCTGATGGCTCCCAACTACCCTCCCTTGGCCTGATCACCCCCAAGGCTTTTATTAATATAGATATGAATGTCTAAGACCTCTGAGAAGATAGTTGATGGATTTGTGTCTATCATCCCAATAGCTCTGTGAATGACTCTACTGCTGGGAATCAGTTATGAGTATTTGGTGTCTGGAATGGACTAACTGTTCTCTGGGCAGTGCCTCTATGACCTGGGTTAACACAGGAGAAAAACATGGCAGTGGCTACTCTCATTTTTACTCTAGTTACAATCCATCCAGATGGGAGGTTCACACAGCTCAAATCTGAGATGGCCTTCCCTCTCTGACTTCACTTTTTCCTAGATTGATAGGGCCCCACAGTTTTGACCAGAAAAATAACCAGCAAATTGTGTAAAATTAAATGTTGACATTGCATCAAAAGAAAGCTCCCTGCATTTTAGCTCCTATTCATCTGTTTTACTGCTGTTAGAAGTTTATACCAGGCCAATGTGGCTCAGTGGGTGAGCATCAACCTATGAACCAGGAGATCAGGTTTGATTCCCAGTCAGGGCAAATGCCCAGGTTGTGGGGCTGCAAGACGCAACTGATCAATGATTCTCTCTCATCATTGATGTTTTTTCTCTCTCTTTCTTTCCCTCTCCCTTCCTCTCTGAAATCAATAAAAATATATTTTAAAAAAAGAAGTTTGTGTCAGCTACTGGTTCTTATATATTAATAATGAAATTCATCACCTATATTTTCTTCCACAGAGGATCAAAAAGTATTATCATCCTAGCTTTGCTACCAAAATATTTTGATGGGAATTAAAATCCTACAATTGCTCTTATTATAACTTAGCATTGTTATGCATTTGAATAACAGGAGACTGGTTCATTATTCATGCATTCACTCAGGTATATTTGGAAAATAAAATATGGAAATGAGAAAAAATCTTTTTTTTTATGCTAAATGTTCACAGTTTGACTTTCCATAAGGCTTATTAAATAATATACAAATAGCTACCATTCTGCTGCAATGTCACAGTCGCTACATTAATAATGGCACAGAAGGGAACTGTCCCCTGGTGGGAAATCATCTTCATGACCTCCTACGTCTCTTTTCCAACTAAAACTTGGCTGTTTTTTTATTGATAAAAGTTTCATTTCTAAAAGAATATAAAAATAGAAAATGAATCAAGAAAGCTTTTACATATACAGTTTTGAAGGACACTCTATAAACATTAGATGAGATGCTGTATACATCCTTAGGAATGTGCTTTGTCTCACCACGCCGAACACCGCATAAACACAAAACTGCATGAGTATATGCCATGTACGCTGAGGAAAAGCATAACGCAATGTTGAATATTTAGCTAAGACGGACCACTTAAACATACAGTAAGTACTAACAACATATCTTCAAAGTGAAGCTCAGCTAACATCTGCCTATGAGATTCGTTTGCAAACCTACCCTTTTTAATGAAAAAATAAGAGAATGTTGAATCAAGCAAGGCACATTTTCTTTTAGGCAAGTCTGTCTCAAATGCCATTCACCTGGGCACAGTGTACATTTCACTTACTCACGTGGAGACGGGCTAATCTATGCACGAGAGCCTTTGGTACAAATCACAGTCATCAACAAAGTCGCACGGAAGCCAGGACACGGAAGATAACATTAATGTATCTCGTGATTAAACACAGTCCAGTGATTAGCTGAAAGCAGAAACACAGTCCTAGTTGGCTTGTCGGAAACACACACTTAGGTTCTCTTGATCAGCAATGCTGCTTAGTTTTTGGATCATTGGATTTCATCAAAACATGAAGAGGTTGAAGTGATACCCTAAGATTGTTGACGTACTTCTTTCTTTCTCTCCAGATGTATAGCTTTTGTATTGCATACGACGTGAGGAAGACTCTCAGAGCTCTTTCCCTTGCAGAATGCATTTGCTGGAGACATGTTATTTAATGTCAACGAAAGCAGACTATGGCTGGCAGGCAGCTCATGGCCCACCAGGGACGGACCCAACACCGCATTCTTGAGCTAGACGGGGAAAGACAGGAGCGTCCAGCTGATCAGCGTGGCTCTCTATGTGGGTTCTTCAGGCATCTGTTGGCAGAGTACACATGATGAATTTACTATATATTTAGTTACTTAAAAATTATAGACCTCACGTCAGTATAAAACATTCTATCCATTATACTCTTAAAAACTGTGGTGTGTTTTCTTACAGTTACTCTGAAAAGTTCAAGCAATTTCATTTTCTAACCATATTAACTACATAGTGAATGCTTTTAACTTATGTTAGAAGTTTCAGAGCATCCTGAAATGATGAGCTTTCCCCCCCCGTATTGAATAATGACCTCCACATGCAACCCAAACCAATGTGACTGTTTGCTTTTTGAACAGGAAAATTTATCCACATCTTTAGAATCATCTGAAAGATTTGAGCACCTACTCTTTTTTTTTTTAATGTATGTATGTATTTTCTCAATGTTATGGAGGGGGGGAAGAGGAGAGGAGAGCAGAGGAGAGGAAAAGAGGAAAAGAGAGGAGAGGAGAGGAGAGGAGAGGAGAGGAGAGGAGAGGAGAGGAGAGGCGAGAGGCGAGAGGCGAGAGGCGAGAGAGAGAGAGAGAGAGAGAGAGAGAGGGAGAGAGAGAGAGAGAGGAAACAGTTTCAAAAGAGTGAAAACCATATTCTAGGTGCTAGATGTCATCTCTATAGTTTATCTTGTCATTACAAAGTATTCTAAAATCTCCCCATCCTTTGAAATATGAACTTTGCAGTTGGGTGCCCTTTAAGAAATCACAAATTGAGACAATAACTACTCAGCCAAGGCCAGTAGAGAACAAAGACATAAAAGTTCAAGGTTTGGTGCTCTCCTCTTCCAACTACAAAAAATGATAATAATAATAATTTAGAAATGCTGACAATAAAGTAGCTCTTAAAAGTAGCACAAGGCAGCATGACTATCTTGTTTAATGTTACATCCAGAGTCCAGGATGGCGCCTGGGCCAGAGCAGAACTTCATATGTGGAATGAATGAGTAAATCCCTACCACGTTGCCGTGTGACACACAGAATGTACTCCGTAAATATAGGTTGAATGAATAAATGGATATATAACCATTCAATTTAGGCACACTCAGAGATTCACTAACTACATACTGTATAATAAAAGGCTAATATGCAAATTGTCCAGCAGTTCGACCAGGGGGCGGGGCCGGCCTACTAACTGCCTGTGGCCCCTTCCCCCAGCCAGTCCCATCCCTGATTGGCTCCCCCACTCCCCAGTCTGGGGGTGTGTGTGTGGCCAGACCTCACCTGTGCACGAATTTGTGCACTGGGCCTCGAGTGCTATATAAAGAATACTTATAAAGTCAAAAACAGAAAATGCTAAGCCCAGCACCAGCCTTCCGTGTGACTATTGCCCATCATGGCACTCAGAGAAGAAAGCTTTTAGCGGGTGTCTCAGATGCAGTGGAAACGCCTAAAGATGATGATCTGGAATTCGTGCTTTTTACAGAAGTGTCACCCACTCACTGGACTACCTGTTGCACGTCTACTATGTGCTGGGTAAGCAGCCAGTGACGTTATCCTCACTGACCGGGAGCACACCTGATCTTCCTTCGAGGGAGATGGAACTTCTTACCACTAGTCTGTGTTGGAAAAGCAAGAGTACGTTCTTGCCTCACAGTATGCTTCATTTTCATTGCAGAGTTTGAAAATTATAGTAGTCTCACAGCTACTAATGACAACTAATTACAAGAAATTACAAGGACCATGAATGATTTTATTTCCTAAGTGCCTAGCGCTGGCTCAGTGCTACTGGAGTTTTGGTTCTCTGGAGCTGGTTCTGGTAAGCTCTTCTTGTCTGCTACCGTTACATCCTTTTATACAAGGGCTTGGGCTTTTTTTTCTTTTTCTTTTTTTTTCTTCATGTGTTTGTACCTGTCTCAATGTGCTTGGGATTCTTAAAAAAGTATGGAACAGTTTGGTACTCTAATAGACTGTGGGTATGGAGAGAGTTACAATTCAACAGAAACATAAAACACAGTGACATTTGGACAGTCATCATAATGTTTCTATTAGCAGCTCAGGAATGGGTTGAAGGGCTGAGAAGAGGGCACATGGCCTTAACTATCAAAAGCAACTCTTCAGCTCTGGCTGGTTTGGCTCAGTGGATAGAGCGTCATCCTGCAGACTGAAGAGTCCCAGGTTCGATTCTGGTCAAGGGCATGTGCCTGGGTTGTAGGCTTGATCCCTATTAGGGGTCGTGCAGGAGGCAGCCAATTAATGCCTGTGTGAAAGAGGCACAGAAACCCAGCTTCCTTCACTGGCAGCCTTTCTAACGTACAAGCATGAGGAAAAGGCCGAATCCTTCCCTAACGTGGAGCTTTATGGGAACTTGGCTTTCTTGTGCCTATACGTTGACATCTATTAAATAACTCAGCGTTGGCCGCAAACCAAGTCCTACGAATTCTAACAACTAAAGAGTCATAAATTAGCCCCAAGGACTAGCGAGATGTCTTGCTCATTTAGGTATAATTAATTCTCTGATTGGCCTCTTGGAAATTATGTACTCTTGGCAAGTCAAAAAAGTTGAAGCTCACTCAGTAATTAAAGCAGGTAATGAGCTAAGATGTGGGCTGAGTGACAAATCTGGAAAGTCCCGGGGAAATGAGCTGTGAGTTGTGTTCATCTCTACTTTGAGCAGAGTTTAGGTCTACCACCAACACACACTCTCAGTTCACAGCTGCCTGTGAAATACACGGATCTTTTATAAACAGTTAAAAAAAAAATAGCTGCAGGTAAAAGATTCAGAGGATCTTGGTATAAAGCAACTCCAGCACAGTTCTTACTTGGGGAAAGTAAGGTGACTAACTTGTCTGAATCATTTAAATTCTATTTCAGGGTGACTGTGAGTGTGTAAAGATGCTGTGTGCAAGCGTGTCAAACTCGCGGCCCGCGGGCCTACAGCATTGGCCATTTTCTGGCAGGAGACTAGGAGCCCCGTCACAACAGCAAGGTTTGGGCTCTGCTTGGCTTCCCACCCCTTCTTCCTGCCTCCTCTGATCTCTCTCTCAAAGGTTATCAACCACTCACTGCAGTTATAAAGAACAAAAACAAAAAACAAGCAAGTTCATCAATATACATAAAGTTGCCTAACAAACTACAGGAAATTAGCTGTAGGAAAAAAAGTTTCGGCCTCCTTAGTTTAGGCCAAATACAAGAAAGAAAACTGGCCTCCAGGCAAGCCAGAATTCCTCCTCCCATTCTGATGCCCTCCCCTCTGGCTCAGAGCTGCCTGTCTGCAGACTGGGGGCTTGGGTTCTGCTTAGCATTGCTGAGTGGGCGGGACTCTCACTTCTACTCACAGCTGAGGGGTGGGAAGAACTTGGCAAGTGCTGCGGAAAACGTTGACATTTTAAATGTATAGAAGTCAGCGAATTACAGTTCTGATTCTCCCAGGACTAGACTATTGGTAATGGCTTTACTAATAGTCTATAAAGTCAATATAGACTATTTGACTTTATAGACTATTAGTAAAGCCATTACTTGAGTACATTATATGGCACAGAGGTTAGTAACATGTGTTACGTCAGTAAACCATAACTTTCAATTTCTTCATCCTGTGCATTTAAAGTGTCAACTCCAAGATTGTATTGCAAAGTTTAGAAATAACCGCTCTAACACGGCCCTCTTATGTGTAGCTGTTGGTGGTTAGGTCACTATATTTGGTGGGCATTTGAATTTGATAACACCATAAAAGAAAAAAAATAGCCCTAGCTGGTTTGGCTGAGTGCGTAGAGTCGGCCTGCGGAATGAAGGGTCCCAGGTTCGATTCCGGTCAAGGGCACAGGTCTGGGTTGCAGGCTTGATCAAAGGTAAGCAGCCAATCAATGATTCTCTCTCCTGATTGACGTTTCTATCACTCTCACCCTCTTCCCTCCTCTCTAAAATCAATAAAAATATTTTTAAAGAAATAAATAAAATAATATTAATGTTTATCTCTAGGTTCACCAGCTGCGGGTATAGAGATTTCCCCCAGGGTGTGGACGGGTGTGTATTGACCCGGTCACCCCTCCTTCCACGGATCATTTGCACACACAGACCTATGTATGTGCACCGTCCAACATCCAAGACCTGCTCAGCACCGCAGTCTGTGGTTTGCAAGGCTCTCTGGTCTGTGCAAACTTAGACTCATTAGCATTTTTGCTCCTAAGTCCAAATCACTGTCTATTTTCATTTTGCTAAATTGGATTTCGGACATGAGAGAAGAGGCTGCGGCTATTTTGTGGGACAAAATTATATTCTAATGTTTTGCTGCGGATGGATGCTCTTATAAAGCAACATTGCCATCAACTGCAATGAACCGGCACTCCCCTGCTTTCAACCCTTTTGTTCCCAGTAATTCCTCCCTTCTTGGGAAGAGGGAGTCAAAATGTTTACACCACTTGCTGGCACCGATCGCCAGGAACCTCAGCAAAGGGCGAGGAGGCGGGAAAATAACAATCTGCACAATGCCATCACCTGCTGTAGAGGAAAACACGTGGAAGTAGGAAATGAATCTTCGAACTGGAAAATATCCATTGTCTTAGCAGAGACACCACTGTGACTGACTACACTTTCTGAGCACAGTACATCCATCCTATAAGAAAGTCACCCTTTCTCCCGGAAAAGCCTACCTCTTCATCCAATTTGGATAACGTATATTCGATCCCTGTGGCTTAAATATATCTGATGATTAGAAAAGGTTAATCTCCAGGATACTGAAAGAAGCAGGTTTCTGGAGATGGGCTTTTTATAGGAATTCATTGATTAGTTACATGGGCTGAAGTCAAATCTGAAAGCATAAGGAATTCATTTGCTCAATCTCATTCAAGTCATCCAATTAAAGGTACAAGTGTTGGTGGTGGGGGGAGAATGACTTGGTTTTAAATTTAAATTATAGCTGGGTCTCTTGCTAGCTGTGGCATCTCAGGGAAATCATTTTAACCTTAACCATCTATTCTTACCCTCCTAAAATGGGGTCAATACCACAAACCTGCCGAGTTAAGTGTCAAGGACACGGTGACCTTTAATAAATGGGGATTATTTCTGTGATGTAGAACGTAAATAGGAAGACAGGGATTATGTATTTCATATCATTCACCAAGTTCGGTATTAATTACACAAAGAGAGTGAATAACGATCACAATAATAATGCAATCTCTTAGCAAATTATATAATGCAGTCATGTGATCTCTTAGCAAAATCTCTGCTGCACAGCATGCATCTTACCCTTTCTGAGTAGTATACCTGAATTAACAATGAACAGTCACAGCACCCTAGGAGGTACTATTTATTAACCTCATTTTACAAACAAGGACTCTGAGGCACAGAGAGGTTCGGTAATTTGCTCAATGTCAAACAGCAGAGTCAGGGTTCAAGCCCTGGCAATACAACTGCAGAGTTTATGCATTAAGCCACTTCACTAAAAGCCTGAGAAGAACATTAATGTAACATCATCATGATTGACCCATCAAATACAGGTGTGTAGGAAGTACATACAAGAAGCTACATTCTGTGCTGGACAACCTATAACCTTCAAGAAGCTAACACTATGGCAACTGGAAGCAATTATCCTACCCCAAAGCTAGGACTCCAAAGCCATATTTCTCTGGATTAAAAAAAAAAAAAAAAAAAAAGGGTCGCATTTGTATTACTGTTATCTAATAGCCATATAATTCCAAAAATTGTGGCACAACCATCGGCTACTTATAGAGCTTATCTTCCCAAAAACATGAATAAAACCATTTGTTCATCCCTAAGGTCTTTTAAAAACAGACCCAGAATTTATCTTTATGTTCTTACTAGTGTGTGTCTAGCATGTAACCACCAACAGAGGTCAAACACAGAATTCCTGGTCATCAACACCACCACAAATTGGTCAAAAGGTAGATCCATGTTAAAAGCAGCTCAAATCAGCAGCAAAAGAAACTAGCCAAAGGGGTCCTATCTCGATGCACAGAGGTAAGAACAATGATGCTAAGACCAGCCACGTAGATTTCTTTTCTCTTCCCTCTTTTATTGTCTTACTATTATGTTTCATTGTCTTAAAGCACCAACAGTAACTAACAGAAGTAGGCTTCTGACTGCCTGAAAGTATTTTATAAGCTTTAAAATAGGGCTACTCTTACCGGCTCTAGGAGAGAATAACTTACAACCTATCAAAACCAAAAAAATAATTGTGAGAAATGCATGTCTATAATGTGTATGCAGTTATTTATGTTAAAGGGAAATGTTACCTTCATGCCATTTTAACCACTTTTATCCCAAAGAATTGTACTACAAATGAAGCACATGAACACTGGGACAATCAGCTAACGGCAGTAGCTTCTGCCTTTTAATTCCTTTTTAAGGGGAAACGGGCTGTTCAGAAGCCAAGGGGGTTAGTGAAAGGAATGGCACCATTTTCAGGTCAGTGTGGGGGAAGGCTAAGCAGCAATGATTTTTTTTTTTTTTTTTTTTTTCAGGAAACAGTGGAAGGACAGTTAGCAGCCCGGGAATCAAATGGAAACAGTGTCCCAAATGATCAGAAAAAGGCACCCTGCAGATAATTCACACAGAACTACTGGTTTTGCAAATATCACCAATCAGGACACAAATGGCACTGCCTGCTTCCCCGGACAAGAAGGCAGTGTGCTTGGCGGCCCCCACGCTGCTCACCTGGGTGGTCTGTCTTCTGGCAGCCCGGGCACCTGCTGGAACGTGACGGCATCGCCCCAAGCTCCGGTCACTTCCCATCCCTCCTTTTTATTGACTGTCTGCCCTTCCCTCAGTCACAAACACGCATCCTTCCTAATGTGCAGTTTTGTTTAGCTTTCCAAGTGCCGTGATGGTGACGGTGTTGTGGAATCTGTTTTTGTTTTTTGTTTTTGTTTTTCTTTTTTTCTGCTGTTAAAGGGGACATCTGAAGGTCCCTTGGAGCAAGGTTTCGGATACACCGATTGAATCTTCCATTGGATTATGTACAGAACACCTTCTGTCTGCTTTTTAAAAAAAAATTTATTTCATTGGTTGCCTGGAAACTTCTTGGTGAAAGAAAACAGCAGAGAAGCATCTTTTGAAGTTATTGCCCCGTTACTCACATTTCATTCAAGTCACGCCTGATTGTGGTGTCAACCTAACATCCCAAAGATGGTATCTTCCTTCGCAATTCAGTCATTAGAGGGTGATAGCAATGCTTTTCTTTTGTAGTAAAATATATATATGCATTTTGTGAGTCATTTCGCCACCTTGGCATCTCAGCCTTCATTTGTGCGGTTTATTCAAACAGTGGTTTTTCCTTATGAAAACGTGTTAAGTAGGAACCATCTGGAAAGGTTACTGTGGAAACGGCAGGGGCTAGGAGGGGCAGGGACAGAGAGCAAGAGATGCCATGACAACCTTTTTCGGGTTTCCTAGGAAACCTGGGTTGCTATGGAAACTGCATCAGCCGGTTGGAATTAGTAACTTCCGCTGGAAGGAATGTCTGCCGCTTTAATCTCCCTGTGATACCGCAGGAGCTCCTCTCTCAGATGCAATAGGACTTTTTTTGTTTCTCTCAGCGGCACTGAAAACATGTTTTTAGTGGCTGGAACACATACACACACACACACACACACACACACACACAGAACTTCACAGGAATCCGTTAGTCTCCTACTTTGGAAATGCCTTACCGAGCCCCAAAGAGCTACAGGAACCAGTTAGATCAGGCACCCCTTGGGCAAAGTTGCAGAGATCCTTCAAACTCTAGGCAGGGGGTTCCGAATAGAATAGAAATTCCAGCCAAAAACCCAAATACACACACAGTCGGCTTATAAGTCTTTCTGATCGGACTTCCCATCCACACATCCACAGTGCCGGCCGCGGGGCTCAGCACCCCATCCTGCTGAGTCCGAGGCCGCGGAGAGGAAGCTCCTCCAGGCGCGCGCCTGCCTTACTTAGCAAAGCCACAGCTGCCTTGGCACTCTGAGTTACACAGTCACCCTAACGGTTCTCAGTTTCATTTCCTCCCGGGATGTACAGGCTGGGTGTTTTTCCCCCCCTCTTCCATAGGGCGTGGCCTGGAAATCAAATTCAAAGTTTGCTGCTTGCAATAGTGAGAGGGAGAGAGAGAGAGGAAGAAAAAGAGAGAGAGAGAGAGAGAGAGAGAGAGAGCGCTGAGAGAATGCAGCCCCCTTGCAAAAACAGACACCTGTCTCGGTGTGCAGGCGCCAGGGAGGGGGGTGAGGATGAAGTGTGCTTTCCGCTTCTTTACGTCCTTCCCTGGATGGATGGCCGGGAAATATATAAAAACAAGGGCGCACACAGGCCAGGGGGCACGGTCCACACCACGGGGAGCACAGCGGGTCCCGGGCGCAGGGCGCTACACGTCCGTGAAGATCTTTTTGACGTTGGCACAGGCGTTGGGGTTGGGGTTACTGTTCGTGGCGCAGGCGGCGGTGGGGGTGGAGTTGCCCATTTTGAGGGGCGCCTGCGGGCACGCGCTGTGGTTCAGGGCCCCCTCCTCGATCACCATGTACTCCGACTTGCTGAGGGTGGAGTTGCTCCTGGCCTTCCCCAGCTCCTCCTCGGCCCCGGACGGGGACAGGTGCTGACAGCTGCCCACGTGCATGTACTGCGCCTGCTCCTCGCCCTCCGTCTCCCGGTGGTAGAAGTAGTTGAAGTTGGACACGATGACTGGGACCGGTAAGGCGATGGTGAGCACGCCCGCGATGGCGCAGAGCGAGCCCACGATCTTGCCGCCGATGGTCACCGGGTGCATGTCGCCGTAGCCCACGGTGGTCATGGTGACCACGGCCCACCAGAAGGCGTCGGGGATGCTGGAGAAGCGCGAGGTGGGGTCGTCGGCCTCGGCGAAGTACACGGCGCTGGAGAAGAGGATGACGCCAATGAAGAGGAAGAAGATGAGCAGGCCCAGCTCGCGCATGGACGCCTTGAGCGTCTGGCCCAGGATCTGCAGCCCCTTGGAGTGGCGGGACAGCTTGAAGATGCGGAAGACGCGCACCAGCCGGATGACCCGCAGGATGGCCAGCGACATGGCCTGCTGCCCGTTGCCCTGGCGCTCGGCCAGCTCCGTGCCCAGCGTGATGAAGTAGGGGATGATGGCCACCACGTCGATGAGGTTCATGATGTTGCGCGAGAAGGCGGCCTTGCTGGGGCAGGCGAAGAAGCGCACCAGCAGCTCGAAGGAGAACCAGATGATGCACAGCGTCTCCACGATGAAGAAGGGGTCGGAGAAGCTGGAGGCCCCGGCGGCGGCGGCGGCCCCGGCCCCCGACGTACCGTTACCCGCGGCGGCGGCGCCCTGGTCCTCCCGCAGCAGCTCGGGCTGCGGCGGCGGCTCGAAGTCGCCCCTCTCGTCGCGGAACTCGGGCAGCGTCTCCAGGCAGAAGATGACGATGGACACGAGGATGACGAGCACGGACACGATGGCGATGCCGCGCGCGGGGCCCGAGCTCTCCGGGTACTCGAAGAGCAGCCACACCTGGCGCTGCAGGTCGCGGCGGGGCAGCGGCCGCTCCTCCTCGCGCAGGAAGCCCTCGTCCTCGCGGAACTTCTCCATGGCCTCGGCGCCCAGCTGGTAGAAGCGGATCTCCTCGGAGAAGATGTCGATGGGCACGTTGACGGGGCGGCGCAGGCGGCCGCCCGACTGGTAGTAGTAGAGGATGGCGTCGAAGCTGGGCCGGTTGCGGTCGAAGAAGTACTCGTTGCGGAGCGGGTCGAAGTAGCGCATGCGGCGCTTGGGGTCGCCCAGGAGGGTCTCGGGGAACTGGCACAGGGTCTTCAGCTGCGTCTCGAAGCGCAGCCCCGAGATGTTGATGACCACGCGCTCCCCGCAGCAGTCCTGGGCGCCGGCGGCGGCGGGCGGCGCGGGCGGCAGCGGCTCGTAGCGGTCACGGTCACGGTCCCCGCCGCCGCCGCCGCCGCCGCCCTCCGGCGGGTCCCCGCCGCCGCCGCCCGCCGCCTCCGGCTCCAGCAGGTGGTCCCCGGGCGCGGGCACCACGGTCATGTCGGGCGGCGGCTCGGGGCCCGCGGCGGACTCGGCGTAGCCGGGGTTGAGCAGGGTGCGGGCGCCGCCGCCGCCGCCGCCGGGGGGGCGCGGGGCCGGGGGGGCGCGGCGGCGGGCGGCGGGCGGCGGCGAGCTCAGCAGGCTGAGATGCTCCTCCATGCGGCGGGCCCCTGCGGCTCCCGCCCGCGCCCGCGCCGCCCGCGCCCGCGCCCAGCCCAGCGCGCCGCCTGTTGCTGCCGCGGCGGCCGCCGGGCTCCGTCTGGCTGCGGCGCGGCCCGCGGGCTCCCGGGCGGAGGGAGACGCCTCCCGCCGCCGCCCCCGCCTCCCTCCGCCCCCGCCCGGCGCGCGCCCGCCGCCTCCCTCCCGGCCCCGGGGTCCCCGCCCCTCCGCGCCCGGCCCCGCCTCTCCTCCCCGCCGCCTCCCCGGCCCCCGGGCACCCAGGAACCTTCCGTTAGCGCCCGGGTCCCCCTGCACCTCTCCGGCCCGCTCCGTGCCAGTGCGCGCGCCCCCGGCCCGCGAGGCCGCGCCCCCGTTCCAGGGCTTCTCCGCCGCCCGGCCCCGCGCCGCTGCCCCGCGTCTGCTCCCGGGCCAGCGGGGAGGCGGGCGGTGCGGAGCCCGGAGGTCGGCCGGCTGGCGGAGGCGGGGGAGGGGGGAGGGAGGGTGGGGATGCGCCCTGGATCCGGAGCCTGGTCCAGGGACGGTGGCAGGCGCGGTGGGTGGGCGCCCCGAGAAGGGAGACCTCCAGGCCCGAGGGCTCTGAATAACGCAGCCCCTGTGTGGGTGAGACGCTGGAGGGAGTGGTGGGTGCTGGTGCGTGTCACACCCGGGAGTCTGAGAAAATGGGTCATTCCGGGCATTCAGGGACTTGGCTTTGGAGAGGATAGTTCACACCAATGTCCACAGCGTAGACCCGTTCCAGACGCGGGGAGAAGGGGGAGCAGGTTTCTGGTTGGGCTTGGAGCCGGCAGCCTGGTCTCTGCAGGACTGAGCTTCCCTGAGAGGGGAGTGACAGAGGACATGCACTCAGCGTCCGGAGTCTGTGTTGGGGTGATGGAGACCCGGACACACACCCTCTCAGACTGCGTCCCCGCTGGCCGGGCCAGGGGCTTCTCCAGGCGTCAGCGGTGACACTGCGAGAACATGCGGTCCAAACCTGCGTCTCTGTTGCTTGATTCTGGCCTGGAGATAGGACCTTGCAGTTATCCCCATTTGAACAGAAACCAGTTTTCCAAAGTGCTCTGGTCACTTGGAACACAGTTTCTCTTTCCGGACAGCTAAGCAAATCCAATTCAGAGTCAACCCCAGGCTTAGAAATGTGTTTTCTGCTCTATCATCGGAATCCTTTACAAAAGAGGAGTGGTTGTGTAGACAACTCCCGCACCCATCACGCCTGAGCTGGGGAGTTTGGAGTAAACGTGTGTGTGTGTGTGTGTGTGTGTGTGCGTGTGTGTGTGTGTGGTGTCATGGAGAGCTGAGGCTAGGTCTCACCCAGTTTGCATTCCCCGCAGCCACCAAAGTGCCTGCCGGGGGCGCTAGTAGGCCCTCCTATGTGTCTGTGGAATTGAGTTTCTCAGCAAGTGAGTGTTTACATCCCTATCCACTCCGGAGGGTCAGCATTTCTTGTCTCTGAGCCCAGGAACCCTGGATTCCTCGGAGGAGGAGGAGGGAGGGGACCCCGGGCTCACAGTCGGGGTACATTCCCCGGTTGGTAATTCCACGGGGTTTCCTCTGCCTCTTCTGGGTGCAGCAAGCACCAGGTTCTTTTCTGTCCTTTGCCCCCGGTCAGGGCCAGCCCTGCAGGCTGTGACACAGATTGTCAGATGGTCAAAGCGGACCGCCAGGTAACACTCTCTCCCTACACCACGCCCTGTGTTAGAGCTGGGCGGGTGGGGAGCAGTGGAATCCATCATTCGTATATTTAAGTCTAAGAATAAGACAGAGCGCTCACTGCCAGGACAGCTCTTAGAAAGGCAAAGACCCTATTTTTAAAGACCCAAATGTTTCATGCACCTCTCCGCCCGACTTAGAAAGTGATTTATCTCTCCATTTGCAGGAATTAGTACCGAAATTAATATTAATCAACCGCAAGGAAGACCAGGACGGAGCGGGCCCTGTGATGGATGGTCACCAGCTTCTCCCCGCTGTGCAGTAGCTCTCCCTCCGAAAGGGCTGTTTCCACTCCTCCCAGGTAGTTGCCTTCTCGGGGAAGACCGAATCTGAGCTTCATCGGACGGCCCTTACTTCATACCTGAGGCCCAGAGAAGCTGAGCCATTCCCTCGAGCTCACACAGGGAGCTCCCGGCGGGGTGGGGGCGGGGGCGGGAGATCTTGGCCCGTTTCTGACCCCGGCGGTCGCTGTACCGGGTCACACCGGGAGGCCTCTATGTCGCCACTGCGAGTGCTTAATAAACGCCACATTTCCAACGGCCGCCTGTCTGCCTCTGATTGCCGACTGCTTCGCTTCGCTTCGTATTTATTCCCACTGGAAAGCACCGCCTTCGGACGGCCAGTCTGCTGTGGATGGGAATGAGGTGGTGGGCGAATCCCAGCCCGGCTGGACCGCAGAACCCATCACAACAAAGCCGCGTCAGCCGTGGCACTGCAGGGGCGGCCCATGCCACTTATTGAGTGCCCCCCGCGGAGTAGCTCAAAGTGGTTTGAAAATGTCTCATTCATCCCCAGGACACCCCGGTGGGGTAATAACAATATTATTGTCGTGTGTCCTCTGAGCATGTGCGGGGTTTCCTCACATGCCAATCTTCAACGTGAGAGCCCCTGGGAAATCCCCTTGCAAAAGGCGAGGGTGCCGAAACCGGTGTGGTTCAGTGGATAGAGCGTCTGCCTGCGGACTGAATGGTCCCAGGTTCGATTCCGATCAAGGGCATGTACCTTGGTTGCAGGCACATCCCCAGTGGGCGGTGTGCAGGAGGCAGCTGGTCGATGTTTCTCTCTCATCGATGTTTCTAACTCTCTAGCCCTCTCCCTTCCTCTCTGTAAAAGAAATCAATAAAATATATTTTAAAAAAAATAAAAAAGGGGAGGGTACCTCTTGGCGTCTGGGCTTTTCACGTGGCTCTGGGCTTGTCTTGAATTTCTCACAGCAACGTTAGACATCGTCACCGGTGGTCTGCCAGATGGTCACCACGAATTATAACCACAGACCAAGGGATGGGGAAAGAACACCTGCTGTGCGCCAGGCATTGTGCTAGGCACCGTGGGAGTGAGACATTGAACACAGACCTTGCCCTGGATAGGCTTGCATGGGGTTGGGAAGGTAGGATTTAAATCCATGGAAATCTTTGCAACAGAATCAGTTAAGAGCACAAGACAAAAGTGCCAGGAATGGCACAACATACTCTGTGACTCCGTGGTATGTTCTAGCCAGGCTGGCTGCTTAGCTGTCTCCCCATCATCCTGAGCCGGCCCCGACCTCAGGGCAGCTGTGCTTGCTCTTCCCTCTGTCTGACACACACTGCCTCCAGACTTTCTCATCGTGGTCTCTGTGACCTTGGGTCTCCGTCTGAAATAGCACTTCATCACAGGTGGCTTCCCTGGCCTCCTGATTTCTAAAAGTCGCCCCCCGCCTTCCCCTCCTCCTTGGTAACTGTCTGATCTCCTACTTGCTTTATTTTTCCCGATGCTGTTGACTTAAGTTTATATTTTAGAATATTCAGTTACTTGCTTATCGACGGTCTCCTGCGCTAAAACATAAACTCCCCGATGGCAGGGTTTTGACCCAGAATCTGAGAACAGCACCAGCACGTCGTAGATGCTTACGTAATCCGCGCGGGCTGAATGGAGGGGCGGAGACGTGCGGAAGGACGCACCGGTGTTTTAAATGCAGCCAGTGAAGGAGTTGGCTGGTGTGGAGGTGGTTCTGGGAGGGACCTGTCCCTTCTGGTTCTGTTCCATAGAACCAGCTGGGCCGTGTGGTTGTGCAAGGCCAGTTTTCCCTTCTCCCTGCCAGCCTGGACGGGTCTACCCAGAGTTACATTCCAAACTGCCCACTTGGGTATCCTTCCTGCAGACGCAGTATTTATAGCACCGGACTCATTATCTTTCTCCCCAGACCTGCTTCTCTTCCTGTGCTTCTTACTTCACGCTAGAATGCGAAGTCATCCCCAAAGGGTTCCTCTGCTCCCCTCCCCCACCCACCCCGTGTCCGTGGTCACTATGTCTTCTGGTCCCTGCAAGTCCCTCTCAGTCCTGTCCTCTCTGCTCCATTCTCACTGCCACTGCCCCAGCTCACGGTTCCATCCAAACTCCCTGCTTGTGGGCTCGCTGTATAGTTCAACCCCCAGGACACAGCTGAGTTGTGTTTGTAAACATAAATCTGACCACCTCGCTCTCTGGCGCTGCCCTGGTGGTGGAACCTGGCGCTGCCCTGGCCTCTGGTGGCATCTTCTGGGTTCTTTCCCACCACGTACTGGACCCCGGTCCTGCCAGCCGCCTGTGCCCTCACTCCCCGGTGACTTCATCTCCAAGGTCCAGCTTAGGGCCCTCGTCTGAGGACCCTGCCCCCCCGCCCATCAGCTATGGTGACCACTTCGGAGAAGGCGTCATGAAACTGGTTCCAGGGTGAGGGAAGAGACTGGACAAAAATCTTACCCCTATGGATGAAGACAGGGGCTGGGGTAAGGGCATGGGGTGGAGTTGGGAATCAGGTAGAGGGGAGCTATGGGGGAAGAGGGGGGAATGAGGGACACCTGTAATAATCTGAACAATAAAGATTTATTTAAAAAAGAAAAAAAGAAAGAAACTGGTTCTAGATGGACGCCCATTCTCCTCCTCAGGCCTCCAGGGCCTTTTGTCCCGAGCCCCAGGAGAGGGCTTTGCTGAGCGACACCTCATGTATACGAGGCATCTCTCCCCTCCCAGGGGCACTCCGTGCCGCCAACACCTGGCACCCTGCGCAGTGACACGCGTGCTGAGCGTGGACTGTGCCAAGCGCCTGCCAGGCCGTGACCTCCGCAGCCCTGGAGGGAGGCAGTGCCGCTGCCATGCCAGTCCACATGTGGAGAGAGAGCGCAGGGTGGGAGGGTCCCTGCAAGGACAGGCACAGAGCTAGGAAACAGCAGCACCAGGCCCCTCACCGGTTTGGCTCAGTGGATAGTGTGTCGGCCTACGGACTGAAGGGTCCCAGGTTCGATTCCAGTCAAGGGCATGTACCTTGGTTGCGGGCACATCCCCAACAGGGGGTGTGCAAGAGGCAGCTGATCAATGTTTCTCTCTCATTGATGTTTCTAACTCACTATACCTATCCCTTCCTCTCTGTAAAAAATCAATAAAATATATATATTTTTTTTTTAAAAAAGAAAGAACCAGCAGCATCA